AGAAGCGAGAGTCCCTGGTTCGAGCCCTGTTCAGGCCACACGTCTCTCTTCCTTCAGAGGTTATAAGTGAATACCATTCTGAAGCAAAGTAACAGAAATACCAGATTGCTCACTATGATTGTCACGTAGCTGCTGTCGACTTTAGCATTAAAATAAGACACTCGTGGCTGATACCATGGAATTAGTCCCCGCTATTAATTCATGAATAGAAGGTTGGTAGAAATTGCCCCATCATTAAAACATAAACGGGACTGCGTTCCAGTGGTTACAAACTTTTCTTGTTTCCTGTCTGAAGATTGGTTGTCGAATAATGTCATAGTCTTGCCGCATTGTGAACCTTTTCTCTGGCTTTTCAGTCTGTGTCTGATGCTGTTTCTTCCAGTTTGGCGGGATGATTCAGTCCCAATAGCGGCGGTCTCACCATCACTTAAACGACTGCAACTTTGCATTTCAAAGTAGCATTCACTTTCCACCCTGACATGACAGGCAAATGAGACTGTGGGAAGGAAGCGTCAGCTAGGGAGGTTCCCCTAGGAAGAAAGAAGATATTTAAGAAGATAAGGGGGAAGGAATTGGTCCCATGAGGCCTCAAAAGCAAGAGTGCGGTACGTTATCGCCGACTTAATCCCACAATTATTAATCGACTTCATATAATGACCGCCGGATTTGAAACGCTACTATCGGTGATAGCTAGGCAAGAAAATCTCAGTTATGTTTTGCTTCCATAGTGGTTCTGGTTTACTCTTTATTACGCGGTGAATGGCTACGTAAATTATGCTGTATACTTTTTTATTGTACTATTAAACTTTGTCTGAGCAATTTACTTTTAGGATATTAGTGAAAGTCGCCAACTTCCTTCCGTGCCAACTTCAGGTACGCGTATTGCTTCCGTGGCCGCTCTGAAATCACTGACGTGGCATCAATAGTCCTCCATCGTATTTCTGTCTAATGTTTGTATTGTTTCGTTTAGCTTCGAAAATTTCGAATCGTAGGCAAAACGTCGACTCTCAACATTTAAAGTGTGAAAAATTTTAACTTTGACCAAAATAACATTGCTCAACACGGTCATGCTCGTTTAAGGTTTACTCCGTCGCTCGTGGAAGTTTGCCGAAACGAAGATTATGGCAGAACCGCTAAAACAAATTCCAGCGCAATCGTCCATCGAGACCACAGCGTATACATTCGATCAGTGCTTCGTCGTCGTTTGATTTAAAGCTGGGCTTTTTAGTGCGAAGTAAGTAGACATGGCAGTCTTTGCGAAGCTGTCAAGTTGGAGCAGAACTACTGTGCTGAAAATCAGAACTTTTCCCGCGCTGGCGACCGGTTTGGTGGTAGTAGTAGTAGCATGCTGTTAGCTTATGCATCCGCAGGTACTCGTGATCTAATGATCTGTAGTTAGCTTTCACTTCTCTTACTACCCAGATTGCCTTGATGACTTTAAGCGACTGCGCACCCAGATCTGCGCGAAAGACTCTGCTTCCTCCTGTCTTAACATTCAAGAGTCCGTGTGCTGGAATGACTCGTCGTCGTTGCGACGCAACAAGTAATTTCTTTTTTCGTTTTTCTTCTTCTATGACTTTTGCACGCTTGTTTTTTTTTGTTTCTAAATTTTACTGATGCATGACTATTTTTTGCCGTATCCCTGACATTTTTTTAAATTTAAATCTACGGTTTATTCCTAACTTTTATTCATCCATCAGTCGTAGCCATTAAGCTCGAGCGTCAAACAAAATGCCGCATTACAATCACAGTCTTCAACTTGGCACGCGTCGACTCATCGCCATGGAGTTCATCGACTTGATGGTCATTATTCGACTCATCACAGAAAGTACATTGCGGCGAATACTCTGCTCAAGAGAATTTGCCATTATTAGCAAATGAGATTTTGACCTGCGCTGCGATTCAAATCCTTCACGTGTACAGTGTAATACGAAAGTGGTATTTACTACGCTGTGCCCCCTCCCGTCCACTTTATGAAAACATCATCATCGCACAGGAGAGAGTACAATTAATTTACAAGAATGGGCAGAGATTTTGTGCCAAAATTTTGTACTCTTCACTATCTAACCTATGCGCACGATATTATTTTGATTTGATCTTGATTTCTAGCTTTTCGTTCTGCTGGCATTTTGTGGATCCTCATTTGATCCTTCCCGCGAATTTTCATTTTATGTTTGGAGGGTAGATGGCCTGATGAACGGATAATGTGCTAAGCGGTTGGAAATTAGACGGACGCCCCAGTTTTTTTCTTCCATCGTTGTACGTTCCCAAGCAGAATTTTGTCACCACTGAATATGTCATGTGATTCACCAGTTAAGAAAATCTTTTGTTTCTACTGCATGACAATTACATACTCTATGCTATGTACTGCACAACGCTTCGTTCTGTTTTTCTCTTGAAGCTGTGGTTTCTGACTAGTGACAAAAATTTTCTAGCTGAAAAAAGTTTAGTTCAGTTAAGTTCAGTGCTTCATTTAACTATGTGCACTAGTGACAGTCGGAAGCATGGAAATACTCTTTTAATCGTTAAAATAACATGATATATGTCGAAACCCATT